AATAGATTAATTTTATCATGACTAGTTTAGGAATTATTAAGGTTTTTACCAGTCAATATTGTTACTGTGCTTTTTCTCTGACTAAATCTAATGTATTTTCAATGGAAAAACCTCTTTTTTGTAAACTCAAATGGCGCAGTTACCATGGTAGATTTTTACACCAAATAAAATTTTTTTACAAACCGAGAAGTTGGGGCTATAAAATAGTGAAGAGAGGATTAGAATTGGATTATCCGTTTTAGCGTAGGAAATTTCAAGCCCATAAAGTTAACTAATTCCACGAGTTATATTAGACTCCAAACCCCAACCCTACCCTATAATAACATAGTTGATTAATAATAAAATTATACTCAACGTAGATTTTTTATGGGCAACGTACCGGTGCTAAACATTGCTGACCCTGCTCTTATAAAAACCCTATTGGTAAAGGACTTTCATCTGTTCCCTAACCGTACCAAACTTCGGCCGTCCAGTAATGCCATAACCACACAAAACCTAAACCAACTGTCCGGCGACGACTGGAAACGTGTCCGCTCTATAGTGTCGCCAACTTTTTCATCGGGAAAAATGCGCAAAATGTACCCTCGATTTCGGGAATGTTTGACAGACTTCATGAGACACCTGGACGGCATAGCTCGTACCGGACAGACTATAGATTTGTGGAAAGCGTTTGATGATTTTGCAATTGACGTGATCGCCACCACCGTATTTGCCACCAAAATAGATACCTATAAGTCACGGGACAATCGGTTTGTGGTAAATGCGAGGCAAAAGTTTTCATTTAACCTGATCCAGGCTATGGCCGGAATTATGTTGCCTAAGTTTTTGAGTCAATGGCTAAAGGTTACAGATCCCAAGTCTAATGAGTTTTTCATAGATACTGTGAGACATATTATAGGTCAGCGAAAGGAAATGGGTACTGGGCAAAAGTATAATGATTTTGTACAACTGCTTATGGATGCAAAGTTAAGGGATATTAAGGACCGTAAAATGATGCAGGACGATGTCGATGATCACGTTGATGAGGGTAGGGTTAAAATTAGACAAATTGAACACAATTAACTTTAATAAATAATTTTGTAAAAGCTATATCTAACCTAATAAGTGCCATGCTATATAGCATTGAATGCCAACAGTGACAAAAGTGCCATTTACTAATGTTAAAACATAGGCAAATGACACCCAGTGTTACACTATGGCAATAAATGCTATACAGTATATAATGGTGAAAATTAGTGTTGATGCACTTTTAGCAATAGTTACTATTGAATTATGTATTTATTACTTTATTAAAAACATTAGTATTATTCATTATTATACATTAATAGCAAATATAACTTTACATGAGATAAAAAATTGTAAAATAATTGAAAGTTATTTTTATTCAAAAGGAGATGAAGAGTCGGAAATTAGGCGAAAGGTTTTGGACATCAATTACGCCCGAAAACAGTTGACTGAGAACGAGGTGATCGCACAGGCGTTTGTGTTTTTATTAGCCGGGTATTTCACCACATTCTCAGCACTGGCTTATTTTACCTACGAGTTGGCCCTAAACCCCTTAATTCAACAGAAACTCTACGACGAGATAAACGGTGCCATCGATTCGGACGGAGAGATACCGTACGACGTGTTGACACGACTTCCCTATTTGGAGGCCGTGTTCGCGGAGTCCCTGCGCCTACACTCCGGCGCCCTCCCATTAGCCAGACTAGCAACCACTGACTATAAATTAGGTGACACCGGGATTACCATTAAAGCGGGACAACAGATTGAGATCCCTATATACGCCATGCATTTGTCGGAGCATTACTTTCCCGACCCCTATAAGTTTGACCCTGGTAGGTTTATGCCCGAGAATAAGCATAAGATTAAGCCCTACACATACTTGCCATTCGGGGCCGGCCCTCGAAATTGCATTGGTATGCGATTCGCGTTGATTGAGATCAAGATATGTATGGCTCACCTGATTAGACGCTACCGATTCTACCGGTGCCCGCAAACGGACGTTCCCATTGAATACAAGCGTTTCATTCACGTAATGCTTCCCAAACGACTTGTCGTTGGATTTGAGAAACGCATTCAATAAATGGTTTTATGAATAAAATTTTGCTCATAATTAAAATGATTATGCTTACAATTAGCCTATTCTTATGCTCGTTCATTATTAAACGGAATTAAAATTTTGCTCTATTATAATCAAGTACAGCATAATAAAATGTTGAAGTAGATTTATATCGAAATTATTTATTTACTTGTTAGTGGTATTTGGTATAAGCATTACTAAGCCATGAGATAACATTTAATGAATATTGTATAATACTGTATATGCCTTATGTTGATAATTATGTCGTGTGGAGGGGGACACTGAATTGTCCACCAGAGGCACCCCTGGTTTATGATAGACTCATAATTAGACAATTAAAGAGGGACACGGTTGGCAACACAACAATCATTTCAAATTTGAATTTGAGCAAATCTCAGTGTATAATATTATAAGTTTAAAGGGTAAAGGAATAAGATTAAAGGTAAAAGGTAATATGATTTAAGTCGTCCGAATTATATAATAACATATATTTATTAAATGTTAATTTTTACAGAATTAATTACATTATATGATAATTTAGAAATATATTCATTGAAATATGTTAAAGTAATATTAGATGTATATAATAAGGAATGTGTCTCTATATTGTGTTACTATTTAACCTTTTACATTTATTATTTTTATTTAATATTGGATTAATATACTGATTATTAAAAATTTAATATCCTTTACATTTAACGTCATTATACAAGTAAAAGGCTATAGTTAATGATAAACATTTCACATTGATAATTTAACACTTGAGACACTATTTCTAGGCACTATTGAATATCTGGTGTTAGAAAGCAAACTTAGGTTTATGTATAGGCTAAAAATACTTTATACTTTACTAGAAAGCAATGACAAATATTTAAATTTTTAGCCTATACATAAGCCTAAGTTTGCTTTCTAACACCAGATATACTTTTTGTTGTATAAAATAGATAATGTAATGAAATTAATAAGGTTAACTTTTATTGTACGCATTAAATATTTTTCCTTTTAATTATTAAATAAAATATTGATATTTAACTTTATTGTCATAAAGTAATTAATAATTTAGTTTAATATTATTTTAATTATTTTAATTATTATTGTAAGTTTGATATCAATTTAAATTATGGGTTTAATTAAAATGATAGGTAAGTTAAATATTTTATTATTTTACTGATTTATTTTAAAATTTAAATCTGATCTCGTAAACATTAAAAGTATATTAATTATTTATAGCACTATAACATTATTAAGTAGGTATTTATTACATTAACTAACTTAATATTAGATTTGGTAGCTAGCCTACATTAATATTGAATAAAAATTATTTAGTTTTAATATAAAGTAATACAGTATATACCAGTGGGTTCCATTCAGGGTATTACGAACCCCATTACCTTTATACGTTACTAACGTTTGCCCCCTAGTTAAACTTGTTTGTCGCACTCGACACATCGTTACTGATGTTTGAAATTTTACAAGTCTAGAACCAAACTATTTGAAAATTAACCAGATTACAAACCAAACCAAAGTTTATTAACTTAATTGTTAATAATATAACTTAATTATGAGCTAAATTAACTTAATTATGAACTCAATTAAGTTAATTTAATAGAGAATTAGTTTAATTTAATGCGAAATTTAGTAAATATAGTCCGTAATTAAGTTAATTTAATACGAAATTAATCTAGTTATAAACTAAATTAACTTAATTATAAGTTAAATTAATTTAATTATGGAGTAAATTAACTTAAATTTAATCTATAATTAACTTAATTTAGTTCATAATTAGGTTAATTTAGTTTATAAATAAATTAATTTTGTATTAAAAAACTTCCATTCTATAAATATATTGATAACTAGCCTTGTAACAACTTTGCATTTTAAAGCATTTGATTCAACACTAGTTATTTTGTTAATTTCTATCACTTAAAGTTAAAAGACATAATTTGAAAATTAATAATAAATTCCTTTTCATGTATACAAATATACATGTATACCTTATAATAGTAGACATAAACTTGATTATTATAATTTATATTTTGCTTGTTTTAAATAACAAATATTCATAAATATAATATCAACATACTAGTTTTTAAATCAAATATTATATTGATTAGTAAGGTGAGTAAGGTTATATTATAAATAAAATGACTAGTGTTGAATCAAATGTTTGAAAATGTAAATATGTTACAAGGCTAGTTGTCACTTAAGTGACAGTATGAAAACCAGTGGTATATACTATATATATAATAGTAAAGTTAATTTCTCGTAAGGATCAGTAAATATTATTGTGCCAAAACAGGTTTAAAATATTGAACTGTCAAATATTACAACTGTCCAATGCTGTGGTTCAAAAGTTAAACCTGGATTAATTTTGGTTTCGCCCCCTTTTGTTTACTGTTTACTGTACTTTTGTTTCGTGAAATTAACATTAGTACACTCTGTACAGTATATAATTATAATAAATCGATGACTATTATAATTATTATTGTTGTTATATTATTCATAGTTTCTAAATGAAATTATCTTTATTCTATTCCCTTTAACAGTTGTTTTATTGATAGCAAAATTTGCGTTGGCTTTAAGTCAAGCAGCATTTGAGTGTCCTTATTTAGATGAGCTTGGTGATTGTAAGTGCCTAAAAGCTAGTAAACAATTATATTGTGGCCCTGACACTAGCATATACCCGACGATACAAGCATCGGATTTTGTATTCGATATAATAACCCTGGACAACGTAAAGTCTCCCGACGAAATCAAACTAGATAAAATTTCGGCAAAAATGCTCAAATTAAACAAGATTAATTTGAATGAATTCGGGTTTCTAACGGATAAACTAAAAGTTAGTATCACAAATATTTCATTGAATTATGTACATAAACTCGATGGCATATCTCCAATTGAAATTCACAAATTACTCGATTTATTGTCACCTGGTCAAATTGTGGAATTTGAATTGACTAACTCTGGCTATGTTGAGCTTCCGAATTTACAGAATTTAACGAATTTGCGAATATTATCTCTAAATTCGAATAAAATTTCAAAAATCGATACCGGTAAATTTCAGAAAATAAGTAGCTTGGAGTTTGTAAACTTAGGGTATAATTTAATAAATGACATTGCTTCAAACGGTTTGAGATTTAACACAAATCAATTGTTAAAAATTGATCTTAGTTTTAACTCAATTACCGAATATTTAATTAGCAAGTCTGACCTTGATAACAATGGAAAACTAATGACTGTTGACTTAAATAGCAATGAAATTAATGCATTGACTCAGGAAACATTTGGACAATTTGTAATTGGTGGTGCTCCAAATATAACAGTTGACCTGGATCATAATAGAATTACATGTACCTGGGAAGGGTATACATCTATTAAATGGACGTTTACCAAACGCTCTGAACTACCAAAGCACATTTTTAATGTGCAATGCTTTAATTATAATAGTCGCGATTTATATGGCATAGCTGAGTCAGAATTTCACCAAGTTACCATCACGACGCCTACACCTTATACAACACTAGCAACTAGCACACCTACACCCTATACCACCACGTTACCCACCACAACACAATTACCATTCAAATGTCCATCATGTAGCATGCTCAATGATTGCAAATGCAACGAGACTACCATGGAGTTAAAGTGCGACAAATCTAAGGTGTTCCCCACATTTGACCATGCTTATCATTTCGAAACAATCTATGTGCATGAAGTTAAGAACATTAATATTCAAATAAAACTAGTTAATATGACCGCAAACACTATCAAGATAGATTACGTAGATGTTCAAAATTTAGATTTTCTAACTGCCGATGTGTTAAAACACGTGACACGTTTAGAGTTGGAAAGTGTATCCACAACGGACGCCCTGGACATATACCTTGAAAAAGTTATGCAAAACATACCGTATAACCAATTGAAAGTATTGAACATTACAGCCTCTCAAATATTACACGCAATTCCAGACATAAGTCACCAGAAAAATTTGTACGAGATCGATTTGTCAGGCAATCAAATTAAAAAGATTAACACGGAACAATTTAGCCACTTATGGAATTTATCATATCTCAGTTTATTTCATAATGGAATTTATAATATTGAACTGAACTCACTCAAATTTTCATCGCAAAATAAAATCATGGTTTCTTTAGATTCAAATAAAATCACTGATATGGATGTTAAAATATCTGGCCTTGGTAATAATGGGAACAAATTAGAAGTTGACCTTGGAAGTAATATGATCCGCACATTCACCGAGGACATATTTGGCCGATTTGGAGATCCAGATGCTAATACTCAAATCAAACTTGATGAAAATATGTTTACATGCGAATGGGATGGACAATTTTCAATCAACTGGATATTCACCAGACACCTTGATGCGTCCAAAAATTTATTTGACGTAAAGTGTTATAATTTCCAATCTAGAAATGTATTCACAATTCCAGAATCTGATTTCCACCATGTATCCACCACAACATTATCATCAATAAATTATCCAGGTGACATTCAGAAACTTTTAAATACTACCACGGATTCAATAGCGCATGGTCAATTTAAATGCCCACCAAATAGCATGCTAAACGATTGCCATTGTATTGCAAATTCTGGTGAATTATATTGCGGGCCAAATACTAAAAATTTTCCAATTTTTGATCAAGTTTATAAGTTTGATTTAGTTTATATCTATTACATTGAAACACCAATAGGAATAAGGTTAAGCAATATTAAAACGTCAGCAATCGAGCTTGCTTATACCCATATAAAAAGTATAGATATATTAACGGATGATTTATTACATGATTTAACGCGCGTTAATTTCCGTGGACTTCAATTTGATGATCCCGGCACACAGGATAGTAAGCTAGCTTATTTACTGTCAAGAATTCCAAGAGATCAACTAACAACATTGGAACTAGATCATTTCGAATTAAAAGAAATTCCCGATTTCATAAGCCAAACACGTTTGACCGTGGTGGACTTATCTCATAATCCTATAACAACAATCAGGGCAAATAAATTTATTCAATTACATGGTTTAATGGATTTAGCCTTAAGGCAGTGCGGCCGTATAAATTCGATTGAAAAGGATGGGCTAAAA